GGCAGCGCAATGCGGCTCTCGGTCGTCGTCGCGTCCGCTTGGTTGCGCTGCACGAGGTTCTTGAGCGCGATTTGCTAGGCCGCTCGATCAACGGCCTCGATTTGCACCGAGCAGACTGTACCTGCAAGAGCAGTTCTTGGAGCTGCTGCTTCTTTTGCTCAATGCTTTTGAGCCGCTGGGCCTTCTCCATCTACATAGCCCGCTCGTCACATGAGTGTCGGGGGTGCTAGCTCGTACGGTGAGCAGCTCGAGGTCTTGTTTCGCGTTCGAGGGCAAGCCGCGCCAGCGAATCTCCTTCTTTTCCTTGGAGATGATGTCCATCGCCATGAGCACGTTGAGCGCATCGTAGACGCGGCGCCGAATGTTCTTCTCGTCGTACACCTAGGGTTGCGTGTGATGCAGGGTGGCAGCGGAGGCGGACCGATTACCGAGTCGGACGGACGCATCGTCACAAACTCGTGCACGAGCTCGTCGGCAACTTCATTGTACGACGTCACGTGCTTCTCTTCGACCTTCTGGCACACCTTCATGCTAAAGTGACGGAGACCCTTGCTGCCCTTCTCCGAGACAGCACTCACGGCGCTGGCGCGTGGTGCCTTCTTCTTCTTGGGTGTGCTAGGACAGGCATGAGCGGCCGGATGGACGAGGTTCGACAGATGTACGGCGTCGGGAACGGCAGCGACGCCGACGCGTCGGCCTTCTTGAGCGGCAAAAATGACTGGTTCATCGAATCTAATCGTGCACTAAATTCTTGTTGCATGCTGCAAGGCGTCGTACCCCACTCGCGCTTAAGGTCGCGGAACTGGCCGTCCTTGAGAAGACCGGCGTCGGTCGCCATTTTCTCGAGGCCTTGCACCTTCATCAAGTTGATAAAGTCGTCGTGAAGGCTGCGCGGCGTCGCCGACGGCGCTTGGCTGGCCGCCGCCGCACGAGTGCTTGCCGGCGCCGCGTCCACCTTGGTCTCTTCTTCATCGTCGTCGTCATCGTCGTCGTCGTTTTCATTGTCGTCGTCGTCGTTTTGCACGGGCGGCGGGAGGCTACGCTTGAGCGCCGGTCGAGCGGGCTTGGCCTGCGCCACAGGTGTCACTGCCCGAGCAGGCTTGGCCAGCGCCAATGGTGTCACCGCTTGCGGCGTGAGCTTCGCCGACGCCGTTGCCTTGCGCGTCTTCTCCAGCGCCGGCGCCGAAACGAACTTCTCGGCCACGTCGACCGTCTTCTTAGCGCGTGCTGGGGCCATGGATGGTCGGTCGCTCGCGGCAATCTTACTGAGCCCACGCGAGCGTATTGCAGGTCTCCGGATACACACCCCATATCCGTAGATGTGGCATTGTACGATGTACGAGACCGTTGCCGTACACACTACAGTGGTCAAGTCACCAGGGCCGCCACTAAATTCGGCGTTGATGCCACCTCCAAGAAACCATCAACCTCCCCAAGCTACTCGAGCGCACCTTCGATATCACTCGAGTGAAGGACGCTCGCAGTATGTATGCATCGCGGCTACGACCAAGGTGTACCAAGTCATGGAGTGCAGCATCATGCTGCACTCCATGACTTCAAGGTGGCATTCGATGCCGAGTTTAGCTACAACCCATGTACGTGTACGGTTTCTCATACATTAGTGTACGAACTGGCAATGTACCTCATCGGCTCTGCCACGATGGTCAACGAGCTCAGGCCGATCCGCTGTCCTTGTCCTCCGCAGCCTCGTCCTTGCTCTCGTCCATGTCTTTGGCGTCCGCCTTGGCTATCGATTTCTTGGGCGATGGCGGGCTAAACGACTGGAGGGACGGAAGAATGTCAAAGCGGAAGCCCGAGACGTCCATGGGCGTGTGCCCCTCGTGGTTCTCGCGGAGCTACGTCTTGCATCACGCTATGGCGACGGTGCCAGCGCAGTCTACCGCAAGGTCTTCCATATGCAGCTCCAAGAAGCGGGCCATGGGTGCCTAGCCGCATGCCATGGAGCTATCGCATGCAGCGATGGTATCGGACCTTGGTAAACGCATAGGCGTAGTGCAGTGCCGAGTTGCCGGCCATATCCGCTGCGTTCTCGTCGTGCTGCGGATGCTCGAGGAGTACGGTAGCAAGTGCGACCTAGCGCTTCATCATCATCATGGTGACGGGCCAGGAACTCGCACGCTGCCCGAGATCGCCGCCAGCATGAGCGGTGTCACACCAAAGGCGTCGGCCACGTAGGCAAAATTGTCAAGACCTTCCACGTCATATCGCAATGCAAGGTAAAGGTAAAAGGATATCGAGCGTTGCATGGGGGCGCTGCAGAGAGCGTGCAAAACACGCACGTAGCGCCCTTCGATCGCCCGGCGCTGGGGCTCGCTGACGTCCTTGGCCTTGCAGCGGCGACAAAACCCGTCGACCTGCGAGTCGTCGCTGGCATCCACCATCACCACACTGCTGTGTACCGCGAGGTGGAGCGCGTTCCGGCTGCAACGCGGTGTTACGAGGTCCATGGCCGCCGGTTCGTTCGCGAGCCAAAGCTCCACTGCGTCCAGCCGACCGTCGCTGCACGCGATCCAGCCGCTGTACTCCATGGCCTGTTTCGTCTTGGCATCGCGCGCGAGCATAAGTGGTGTCCGCCCTTGCGCGTCACGCGCTTGCCGCATGCGCTGGGCGTCGCAGTCCCACGCCCCCAAGTAGCGCACGATAGCAATCTGACCGGCCTTGGCTACCACCTCGATGAGTCTTTCGATACAGCTCGCTCGCACAAGCGTACCGGCGACGTGGAGCGCGTTTTGCTTTCGCTGGGAGACGGCGCTAACATCGCAGCCATCGACGTCTGTGGTTAACCACTGAACGACGTCAAGGGCACCGTAGCGAGCAGCAGCATGCAGCGGCGTGCAACCATTATCGTCGCGTGCGTTGACGTTGGCGCCAAACTGCAAGAGAAGGCGGACGCTGGCAAGGCTTCTCGCGGCCGCGGCAAGGTGCAGCGGTGTCTTCTTCGCATTCGAGAGTGCGTCCACTTGGATCGTGTCGCGCAAGAGCAGATGCCCGAGAAGGTCTGGACCGTCCTCGGATACGTTTTGCGCTGCATGCTACCGACACCGTCGCTACACGTCAGCGATACATCGTCTGCGTACGTGGAGGGGAGTCCACCCGTTGGCATCTGCTGCATTTATATCGACTCTCGGATGCTGACCGAGCGCCACCGCGAGAGAGTCGACTGTTCCTCTCCCAGCAATCTGCGCCATTCTGACCCTTTGGAATCCAAGAGAAGGTACATGCCTTGTGCAACGGTGTTTGCAGCAGCGAGCCTGCGAGAGCACCATTGCTGGCGACGTCCAGATCCGCGTGGTCGGCGAGGTAGGCGGCGGCGCGGGAGCGATCACGAGTCGCATCCAGGGTCTCGAAACCGGCTAGCACATCTAGTCAAATACACGTCGTGGTCGTGTCGACACTCGGGCACTCAAACGCTGGCGAATGGCTTGCAAGGGTGCAGCAGCCAAGACTGCGTGGACGGTCTCTTGCGCATAGCATCGGCCACAGCCAAGACGAAAACATGCAGAAATCACGTCCCGCTGCCCCCGTCGGGCTGCGTAGCCCAGTGGCACTTGCCCCGATTTGTCTAGGTCGCGAGATGGAGCAAGTGTCCTTTGGTTCGAAAATGCAAGTACCCGGGACATCGAGCTCCGACAAGTGTGATGCGAGTAGTTGCGCAAGCCGCGGCTCGGCCCGTAGCAGCTGTGGCCATACACTCACCTGGTTCCATGCGGCCTACGTAGCGTTATGCCTTTGTGGTGCTTGGATGAATGAGCCTACATGGTGGAGCACCGAGCAGCCGCAGGCATCCAGCGGCAAGAGCAGCTCCAGTAGCCTCGACGACCGCGTGCGTGGCTCGTCCTTGGTTGCGTCACTAGCTCACGCCCTGTGCCAACGAGCTAGTCTACAGGATGGCTGACGCACCGAACATAGCGAAGCAGGACCTCGGCGGCGTCGGTCGACGGCTGCATCAATGCAATGTGCAGAGGTGTGCGGTCGTGAGCCGTGTCCTTGATCAACACGAGGTGGCCCAGAGACAAGGTAGCGAGCTGTGCCTCTAGCGCTGCGTCATCACAGTAAACAAGTGCACGAAGTAGCGGATGCTCCGAGGCGGAGAGGCGCGAGAAGGACAGACTGGAGGCTTGCGCTGTACTACGCCGCTGCTTCCTAGTACACCGCCTGTATAGAGCACCAGTGTGTATCGTGCGCAGAGTACTTGATCGTTGGAGGCTGGTCGGGCGTCTCAACCGTGGGAGTCGGTTCGAAGTGGTCAACTTTAGCGTCGGTCGCAGCCTTTGCCTTGTCGTCGTTGCGCTTGGCTTCCACGAGCTCGTCCGAGGATTCGGAGAGCTGCTCCTTGCTCTGTGCAGCACGGCTGTCGTCGCTGTCACTGGACGGGTCGATTGCTGCTTTGGCTTCGGCGCACGACGGCCCTTTCTGAACCGGCTTTTCCTCGTCGACCTCAGACGTCTTGGGCGCTGCCAAAGTCGCATATTTGTTGAGCGCCGTTGGGCTGCGCGAGGCTTCTCTCTGTGCAAAAGACGCGAGCGCTGACGGCTGCACCGCGCTGAGCTTCTTTGGCGACTCGGGGTGGCCAAAGGTTCCGCTAAGCGCTGGACTCTGAAGCGTTGCGAACTTTGGTGGGCTTGACGGACCTCCAGGAGACAGCTTGCAGCTACCCAGCGGCTTGAGTGGGCTCAGACTCATCGCGTCGTTTCAAGTCGAATCCCGATCTTTCGTCATGACAACAGGACAGCACTCGTTGTGTTACTACATGTACTGGGTCGCACTCGATGCCTGCGACTACACTATACGTGGCACGTCACTGGAGCTGCGAGGCAAAGAGGCGCGGCCAGTATTGCCAGATAGAGGCGACGGCCGCATAGACTAGAAAGGCGAGGGCGAAGAGGCCCACCACGCGCGGTAGCCACAACCGCAGTTGATGCAGTCGATGACGCCGCTCGAGCCGCTGCCAGCGGATCTGCAGCTGGAGCTGCTCGACAGCGTGCTTGAGGCGGCGCTGTTTTACGGTGTCTTCTTGCTTGGTGAGCTTGAGCGTCACGTCGGCGAGCTCGAGCTCGAGCGCGACGCAGCGCTTCTTGGCCTCGAGGAGCTCGTGCTGGAGCTCAACTTGGCGCTGTGCGATCGGGTCTGTGGGCACGCGGGGCTTCCCGAGCACGTTGTTGACGACGGCGACGACGACCTGTAGCGCGCCCGAGACGAAGGCCACTTCCATCTTCTCGCCTTGATTTGGAAACTCTATGGAACGCCGTATCTTTTCTGGATTCGGCATATCTATTTTGATGTGGCACTAATGACATACACTCCTTTTTAAATTCGGCCAATACCGAAACGGCTTGAGCGCTCGCCCACACAACAACTTGATGAGCTCGTTTTGATGGGCATCGCAGCGAGTCAAGGTCCAGAGAGCGCTTCACTCGTAGAAATTGTAGCGCTTGTCTAATGTCCTTCACGGCAAACCCTGTTTACCCCGCGTGTTATGGCTTCGTCTCGCTCTACAACATTGCTCGACCATACTCGGTGCTCAGTACCCACCCCGGACCGAGCGTGCGGGATATCCGAGAGATAAAGCAACGCGAAGGCGGACTTGGCGTCATTCGAGAATATTATTAAGCTTACTTCGACCAAGCAAACGCCTTGGTCGGCCAGCCGACACAAACCAGCGGCGAACTTTGGGATGCTGTGGGATATATCCTGCCCTCGATGGGAAAACCTAATTTGGGTCCTTTTTTCACAGATCCCTGATTTGATTTCCAGCAGCGACATGGCCGCGACCATGACCGCAGCGCGCCAAGTCGACACGCTTGGAAGGACCAGGGAGCGCATGCCGCCGCGGACGACGGGCGCGCTAGGTTAGATTTGAGGCGCTTATAGTACACACGCAGAGCGCGCTCGTGTTCCTTGCATATCGACACGACAGGAGCTATCACCGAGGTCGAACGCCCGCTACCTCGTCGCGCCACCGAGCAGCCGCTAACGAAGCCGGCACGAGGCGTATGAGGAGGAGCAGCGCATAGAGGTATGCGCCGTCGACAGACGTCGCAAGCACTTTCCTTGTACACCGCCACTCATCGCATTGAGGACCCACGATTGCCGCTCGGGTCGCGTCGCGCAGGACCATCCATGCGCTGTCCTAAAACCCAACGTCGACGTGCATCGATGAACCGAACGCGATTTTGCAACCCGCGTAACAAAAAGCACGCGGTGAACCGAACCACTCCTCCCCGAGGCTGGGGCGGTATTTAGGCAATACGCCCCCTGAGCACTCCCGCGTATCGAAACGGAATACATCAAGTAGCTCCGACTCGGTGTATGTATGTATGTAGTCAAGTCGGTATCTGCCAAGTCGACACTTATCACTCCATCGTGGCCGTCGCAGTGCATCTAATATTATTCCATGGGAAAGACTTGGAGGTGCTGGGCGGTATCAACCGCAAAGAGCAAGCCGTTGTCGAGTGCGACTCTAATCCAGATGTTGGATCCGGTCGCTGCGTTCGGCATCGTAGCCCACGTCAGGTTGGCCGAGAGCGCGCCGACGGTGCAGAGAATTGTACCTGGAGAGTTCGTGCCGCAGACGCGTGTGCCATCAAACGCAATGGTTTGAAACCCCGGCGTCGTCACTTGCGTCCACGTCTTGTCGCTGAGCGTGCTCTGAAAGAGGCTTGCTGGCGTGGCGTAGTAAATCGTGTCGCCATGAACTGCGAGGGCGTGTGCGTCGCTTCCCCCGAGATCGGTCCAATTGCTGGGACCATGCAGCGGCGAGCAGTAGATGTGTTTAGTGCTCGTCACGTCGCTCGTGGCAATCATGCACACCGTCGTGCCATCGGTCGAGACGGTTCCGTCGATTCGCATGTCTTGTAAAAACGGGATGGACGACGTCATGGCGCTCGCCGAGTTGTTGGCCGTGGCCGCCACGGACGGAAGCAAGCTCGGTGTATGGTCGTTCTCCGTGTAAACGACGAGCTTGTCGCCGCCGAGCGCAAAGTGGTGCGGGTACACACCGACTCCGTTGGCAAGCGTGCAATCGAACTTGGCTCCGAACGTAATCGGGATCGTCTCGGACGTCGCGAACACGAGACCCAGGGGTAATTTACCAGGCTCGTTGTAGCGGGGGCGGGTAGCAGCGACCTGGCCGCCACCGGCGGCCACATCAAAGTAGCCCGTCCCAAGGTCAGTCCATGCAGCCGGTGCGAATGTCGGGGCGGGTGTTGGTGCAGGCGTCGGGGCCATCGTCGGTGTCGGCATGTCGACGCCGCAGCTCAGATGGGCAGTTCTGGCGCCGAGGGCAAGAGAGAGCAGTCCGAGTATGCGCATTGAGGCGATTTGAAAAATGAAAGGCAAGCGACCGAAGCTGGTGCGAACATTACCTACTACCAAAAGGAAGGTACGGCAGCAACCCCGTGCATCGATAAGTTTTCGACGTGCACAAACAGTCTCGTATAATGGAGCATTTTTCCACTTGACCACGAGCGCGGATTCATAATTTATCGCCATAGCGTTAGCAAGTTGAAATGCAGCAGAGACCACAAACCAAATACAAGACGAGCCTCTTGCTGTAATCGACTTTGACCCTTTGCAGCAATTGGATCAACGCAGATTTTCGAAGCTCCGACGCCATCACCCGCTCTACTTCCGGTAGTATCTCGGCTTTCACAGTATCAGCTGTTGATGAGTCCAGTAACATTCGTACTAGCTGTAGTCCAACGAGGTTGCGTGTGCAGCTGATCCTGCAACTACGCATACCAAACCGGAACACTCAATTCCCATCGCCACATCCACACCGTCTAGGAACTGTTAACGCGCCTCCCCAACCCGGAACCGATGTCGTAGTAATAATATTCCGCAACCAAAAGGGACAAAGGTAAAAAGTTGTTGGGTTTGGAGAGAGATGGTTGCCTCACGCTAGCTCCTAAGCCGTCGGGGTGCTGCTTTGAGATTGCAGCACTTGCATGCGATTTGGTGTTGCCCGAGACCCCAATCAAACCCGTCGTTTTGTCGACCAAGGCCATAAATGGCCGTGACACTACTGATCTTTTCGCTACATCATCGTCCGTCCAGGCGCTGAGATCGCTCAATGGCGCGCAGTCGACGTGGCGGCGGAGATACACGTCGCCGGTCGTCGATATGTCGTGGACTGTGACGCACATCGTTGCGCCATCGGTCGCCATCACGCTCGATGCATTTTCGGCGCTAGTCGCCAAGGCGTAGAGCGCCATGTCCTGAGTTGGTTAGACGTAGAGCATCAACACGAAATGGATAGACGGTGCTTCCGTCCGGACGCGTCACACCTTGACAACATGGTTGTTTCGAACGTCATCGGAATCGTCTCGGACGTCAAGAGCGCGACCGTGTCAAACGCGCTGAGAGGGGTCGCAGCGACCTGACCGGCGGTGGCGGCCACATTCAGGTAACTAGGACCAATGAGCGTCTATGTGGATGCCGACGTTGGGGTAGGCTCGGGGGTAGACGTCGAAGTCAAGGTAGGTGTCAAGGTAGTAGTCATCGGGGACGGCGTGGGTGTTGGTGTCGGCGTCGGTGTCGTTTTGGGAGTCGGAGCTGGTGTTGACGCGGGGGTATCGACGCAGGCGACTTGACCCGTGGCGGTGCCGAGAACAAAGCAAAGAAGACCAGCTACGCGCATCGACTGGTCAAGGCACGGGGTGCTAGGAGGCTGGGTCGTGAGGGCCTCTTGTATACGAAGTTTGCCAGTATTGATGGCGGGAAATGTCAGCCCAGTACACAGGGGTACATGTGAGAACACATATGTGGATAGACTACAAGTAGGCATGCTGCTCCTTCCGATGCGCTTATCGATGCTAGTGGGCAGAGACTCGTCGCGTTGCTTTGGTTTGTGCGACCAAATAGGATATATCGACAAGGAAAGCAACATAGATTAACGTTAGTGTCCAGTACGCAAGGTTGAAAAATACACCTTGGTTGCCCTTGAAGTCCGCTAACATCGGCACACCAACGCCATGCTCACGTGGGCCTTAAGTTAAAGAGTCATTGGTGTCGAGTGCAGACGATAGACCGCATAGATGAGAACCGTGAGTCTCAAAAGGCCCAACACGTGCGGCAGCGACACAAGATGTTGCCGCTGGGCGAGTTTCCGCGAGCGGATTTGAAGGAACTTGTCAGCGCTGTTCTTGAGAAGGCGCTGCTTCGCGGCCGCCTCTTGCTTGGCGATCTTGGCTTCCATTTCGTTGCACTCGCCCTGAAGCTTCTCGAGCTCGGCTTGTCGCAGGGTGTGCTGGCATTCGGCGTTGGGGTCCGCGGCAATACGAGGCTTCACCAATCTGAAGATGGCCATACCGAGTTTAATAGTAATCGACACAAGCAGACTTTCCATTGCAGCAGCAAGCCCGTGGCGGGCGGCCTGGCGCGACCATGACGTCGGACGTCGACGCGCGCTCGAGCCTCTGCTACGAGGCCAACGCCTTCATCTACCTCCTCCCCGAGGACGTGCCCGGCGGTCTCCTCACGCAGCCTGTCTACGCGCGGGTCGGCGACTCGGTGTCGTCTGCAATATCGATATCGGTACCGTCCATTTGGCGACTTGGCTTGAAAAGGGTATCCGTAAATTTGGCAGGCGACTGCCCGGTACCGTACTCGACAAGTGACCGAGAGAGGGGACGAGAAGGAGCCACGAAGCACACGCGGGGTGCGTGAAACGGAGGCAAAGTCGAAGTGACAGGGAGCGTGCGTGGTTCAGTGATATATCGGTTTTAGCAGCACATTATCCGGACGCGCCAAGCAATCTGGGGTCCAGAAAAGAACTTTTGCACATGAGTTCAGTCAAATCAAAAGAAATCGGATCGACTTCGGAGACAGTTTTGGAGTACGGGAAGCATATATAACAAACATTTAAGGGGAATCGAATGGTGTAGTTCTTATGGACAGAAACGTCGTAATTCTAGTGCAAATTAGGTGTCAAAAGGTCGTCAGGGTAGGGCTACTCGCCGACAGCTGACCAATCAGTGACCTGTTGTCCGCCTCCGGCGTTCCTAAGCTCTGCCGTTGGCTCCTGCCGTCTATCACTTTCACCGTTTGACCAATGAGATCGCTAGGAAGCGACCAATCAAAAGCGCTGAGCACTTTGGGCCCTGTTTTCTCAAAACGTCATAAGCCGATAGCGGTTCCTTTTGATTTGACTGACCTCACATGATCCCTTGCTGACAGTGGGTGGGTTGTGGGTGCTCTTGGAATAGTGTCCCCGAACTCGTCCACCACTTTGTGGACTCTTCAACTGGGTGGTGTTGATTGGTGCTCGCGGTGCTCATATGTTGGCTCTACTCCTGCCACCAAGCGAAGGCGATCAGTTGAGCTGCGATGGCGGCTGGCCCGAAACAAGGGAATAAATCTTGGCCCGAATTCTCAGCTTGTACACTGTAGTATACATATAAGCGTACATATACTAACATTTACTAATCATTCGATTCTTCTCGGGGTATCATGAGAGCTTGTTGAGGGGTGAACGGTGCCGGCACGATGGCTAGATCCATCTCTCTATTCTGTAAACGAATGTGAATGTGAAGCCATGTCCCCCTTCGGCAGCGGAGCGACCAGTGACGAGCGAAGAGAGTCAAGGCTCACGCCGTGCGCCTATCAACCTTGCGCTCAGCGCTGCAAGGCGAAGCCGTGCGCAAGGGTTGGGCTCTTACGCAAAGCCGAAGACCCGCACCTCAATGACCATGCTACGACTTTTAAACTTTCTATCCGTGTGTTTCATAGCATTGTTAGCTTGCAACGTAACACTGCAGGATTCACGGCATCAACCCAGCTGTAGCAAAAGAGGATGGCCGTCCGGCCACCGGTTTCACCCTAATGTGTATGTAGTACACTGTACTAGAGTACAGTTGATTCGCCGCTCGACGGACAACCCCACGTTGAGCCCCACAGCGCTTGCTGCCTGTGACGCATTGGAGCATTACAATGTACAGTACTAGTTTGGCAGTACTGGTACCGAAGCCTCACCAAGAAGACAGTCTCTCGTAGCAGTATATAAACGATGTTGGATTGGACGAGCTTGTACCGCTATTAATATGCTAGTTGCCGCCTTTCCGCGGGCTGTTTCGAAACCCAAAGGCGCCTTTTGGCGCCCCATTTCCTCTTTGGCGCCATGGCCCACCAGCTCTCCGCCCCGCC